CGATGGAAATGTGTTCTGAAATTTTTTTCTAAATAATTGTTTTGTCAAATTTTTTGAGAGAAATGTTTCATTCCAAACTTTCGACGAAATTTAGATTCTGCAAAGAATTTTGACAGAATATTTTTTCCATCAAAATATTTTTCTTCAAAAATTTGTATGAAATTTTTTTTTTCGAAAACTTTTGACAGAAATGTGTTCCGTTGAAAATTTTGATAGAAATAATTTTTTATCAAAAAACTTGAGGGAAATACTTTTCGTTCAAAATTTTTGAGGGAAATGTGTTTCGTTAAAAATTTTGACGGAAATTTTTTTTGTCAAAAAGTTTAACGAAAATGTTTTCGTCGAAAACTTTAGACGGAATTTGAATTCTGTAAAGAATTTTGATGAAATTTTTTTCCATCAAATTTTTCGATGGAAATGTTTTTTTGTTAAAAATTTCGATGAATATGTTTTTTGATGAAATGTTTTAACGAAATTTAAATTCCGTAAAAAAATTTGAGCTAAAAAATTTTTCGTCAAAATTTTTTACTGAATTGATTTTAGTCCCAAATTTGGATGGAAATATTTTTCGTTGAAAATTTTGACGTAATTGTTTTACGTCAAAACTTTTAAATGGAAATGTGTTTCGTCAAACTTTTGAACTGAAATATTTTCGTGGAAAGTTTTGACACAATTTAGATTCTATCAATAATCTTGATTGAATTTTTTTTCCGTAAAAAATTGATGCCAGTGATTAAGGCAAAATCTGGTTTTGTCTTTATTTTTGTCTTTAGTTTTGATGGAAATTTTTTGACGTATATGATTTTCATCAAAAAAATTATCACTATTTTTTACGAAATTTTTTTCGTCGATAAATTCTGCTGGTATTTGATACTTTTTTAATAATATCACATTTAAAAATGATTCACATTTATGTAGTTTTCACACTTTAATGCTAAGGGTAGATAAGTAAATTTTGATATTTCCCACTTAAACCTCCCAAATTAGGGGAACTTTAATTTTAAGAAGAAAGAGAATTTTGGAGGGTTTAGTAAAAATCTCCAATTTCTTTCCCTCATTTTTTTAAACTCACAAACAATGGAAATGCTTACTAAAACCCTCAATTTCATGTCCTTCCCCTCCTAAAATCAACTCCCAAACAAAGTCTTAAAGGAGATTTCTCCTTCAGTTCATCGATTACTAGATAATTCAGTTCGAGTCGGAAAAGACCACTAAAATGACAAATTTTTTAACACAACTTCATGCCCAAAACTTGAACTTGAATCTCCTAATTAAGTTCCAAATATATGCAGTTGATTCATGTGTTTGGTGATGAATATTTATATACAAAAGAATCAGCATCATATACAATGAAAGAATAATAAACAATAAGTGTATTAAAATAATATTTAAATAAGAAATGCTATTTTGAAAAAAATATAATAAATAAGAATTACATACCAGTGGTGGTAAAAATATTAATATTGTTTGACCATAAGCTTGTTGGTGTTGCTTGTAAAAATACAATAACAAATTTAAAAAATAAAAGCATTATATAATTTAGGGAGAAATTATACTTACTATTGAAAGTTTTATAATTCTTACTACTCAATTAATTACTGTTGATTTTCGTCAATTTAATTATTTTAATTTATTATTAATAAATTATAACCATTAAATTGACAGTGATAACAGTGTTTAATTTAATAATAAGAATTATAAAAAAATTATTAATAAATATAAATTCACTCTATATTTAATATCAAGAAGTTGAAAGCACTTTACATTTGTTAAGAGACTGCTCTTTAATCAGAAATGTCTAGTTAAAGTTGTCTCCTCAATTGGCTGGTTCTTTCTTTTTTTATCTTAACTTGCAGGATTGGCTAATGGCTAATTTAAAGAAATACTCAACCGGTTGTTTCAACTTGTACTGGACGTTGTTATTTGATGTTATGTGTTGGAAAACTTGGTCATGGAGAAATGAAATTCTCCATGCTGCAGGAGGAATTGATAGCAGGTATAAGATTGAGATTATAATTTCTTATGCTAAGGACGTGTTTTTAGCTTGTGAATCAGGTAATAATAGGATTTGTGATAGATCTATTCCAGCAATCATGATTAGATGGGAGCCTCCCGAGCATGGGTGGATCAAAATAAATACTGATGGGGCTTCCAGAGGTAACCCGGGTAGAGCTGCTTGTGGTGATATGATTTGTGGTCCAGATGGTAAGTGGTTGGAAGCTTTCTCTTACATGGTGGGTTATTGCAATGCAATTACTGCTAAATTGTGGGGTATTCTGAAAGGGCTGGAGAGAGCTTGGGTGGGTGGATGGAGAAAGATTATTATTGAAAATGATTCAGCTTATGCTATCACTTTGCTCACCAAACCAGGTGATGCATCCTGTGAGTCTCATTTAGTGACTCGTATACGGGAATAGCTTTTAAAAGATTGGCCGGTTCAATTGTTACATACTTACATGGAAGGTAATATTTGTGCGGACTGGTTATGATACAAGTTACAACTTGTATTGGAAAGAAACAGAAGACAAATCGATTTATTAATTCTGATGAAAAATCAATTACAGTATGTATATCCTTTTATAACACCCATTTTCCCACTTCCACTGACTAGATGCCTATTACACATGCCCCCACCCCTTTACATTTACATTCAACACACGTGACTACACTAAAGTGTATAATCAGACATCCACGTGGGCTTCTTAATACTTCTATTGGACTTCCTACTTGTATCAGTTGCCTCCCCGTTAAAAGTGACCTTGTCCTCAAGGTCTAAGTGAGGATAGACACGGCGTAACTCTGAAGTGGGCTCCCACGAAGCATCTTCTGGCACAGCTGCTGACCACTGCACTAAACTCTGGTGTTGAGGGCTGCCACAGATCTTGACAACACGAGAAGAAACAATAGCAACTGGTGACTGCACAGGCTTGTTATTTACACTGTACAAAGGCAAGGATGAGAAACTCAAACTGCTTTGAAAAACTCCTCCCAAATCTGCACCGTTCCGCTACTGAAAACCCATTGAAACCACGGACCCGCTGAACCCTCCATCCTCAGACCCGCTAATTGCACTTTGAGGTTGTCAGGAACCTGATGCATCCTGAAGTAAGACTCTGTGCGAAAGATCCAATTATTTGGGTCATGACATAGAAAGATGGGAATCTCCAACTTCATAGATTTCAAAGCTGAACGCTGATCTTGCAAATCAAACGACACATGTGGACGATTCGGAGATTCATGCGACGTCGTCGGTGGGCTACGAGACATGAAATCCCTCAACCTTGCATCAATCGCTGCGAACCGTGCTTCAATCGACTCAGAAATTTGGTCCAAACGTTGATGGAACTCCAGCCTGTGAGACGCACACTCTTCGGCTAGATCCTGAACTCGCATGTTTGCTTGGATTCGATGATGAAAGCACCAGATGATACAAGTTACAACTTGTATTGGAAAGAAACAGAAGACAAATCGATTTATTAATTCTAATGAAAAATCAATTACAGTATGTATATCATTTTATAACACCCCTTTTCCCACTTCCACCGACTAGATGCCTATTACACATGCCCCCACCCCTTTACATTTACATTCAACACACGTGACTACACTAAAGTGTATAATCAGACATCCACGTGGGCTTCTTAATACTTCTATTGGACTTCCTACTTGTATCAGCTTAGCTAATCTTTCGCTGGAGAATTCGGATCAAGAAGATTTGACTGTATTTCAGTTTCCCCCTCTTGAGATTAGATGGTTGTATTTTTCTGATTTTAGCTCTGTTTACAGGGTTAGACACTCCCTGATGTAATTTTTTTTGTTTTTTTTTTTGTTTTTGTGTTTGTTTAGGGGCATAGCCCCTCACAAAAAAAAGGCATTTCACATGTTGATTTGTTTAGGCTTATAAAAAAAAATCCAAAATACTTAATGCTAGTCGATTTGAGTTGATTCAATTTTAATTTTAATTTTTTTTTTAGTCTTAAACCAAACTGACGTGACCAAAATCAGGTTGATTTGGTTTACGTCATTAGGTATAAAAAGAAAAATAAAAAATTTAGAAAATATAAAAAGGCTTAACGATTTAGTGATAAATTTATTTCTCACACATATATAAAATTTTATGGGGTTCATGTGAAAAGAAGACAGAAAAAAATAGATCTCACACACTTTTTTATATATAATAAGAGAGAAATTTATCTTCTTTTTTTTTGGACTTACCCAACCCTAATTACCTCTTTGAGGCGGGGTCAGTGATGGCTAAAGGTTCAGCCCCCTCCCCAAGAATGCATTCAGCGGGGTTCAGCCCCCTCCCCAAGAATGCATTCAGCGGGAATCGAACACACGTCCAACTCCACTAACTCAGCGCCAAGAAACCAACTGAGCTGCACCCATTAAAAACATTAAACTCATATAAAAATTAAGATCAAACCATGAAAAAATTGGAATATAAAAACAGAGAAAAAAAAACCAACAAAATTTGAAATCCCTAATACATGTAAAATCATAACAAAACTAATTCATCTTTACAGAAAAACAATTAACAAAAAACGAAGTATCAAAAAATACAGAATGAAATATGGGTTTTATTAATCTCATGCAATAGGAGAGAGCTCTCTCATGTTATAGAGACAATCATGTGTGAGATCCATCCACTTATAAAAAAAGAAAAAAGAAAAACACGAAAATCGATATATGTAGAAGATAAAATTACTCTCCTACAACGTAAGAGTATATTTTCTCATAAAATATAATCTCTGGCAAAGTAAAACCATCCACACAGAAATGAAATAATAATAATAATAAAAAACACAAACAAAATAACAATTCGTTGACTCTCTACAACCCCTACAAAGTTCAAAGATTAAATCTCACATGAGTTTAATCTTGGAACCTCAATATCCTGAATAAAAATTAGCCTCACTCCCAGAAAAGGATAGAAAATCATTATAACATGTAAGAACACAAACAAAATTTCTACATTCTCCTTGTAAAAAAAAAAGAACTTGAAAGATTGAAAGAAAAAAATGTAAAATAGGCCGAGCCCAATCAACCTCTAAAATTAAAAACTTAAACCTTAAATCTTAAACCCTAACTCACTGTTTTATCTTCTTCTTTTTTCTTCTAAAACATACAATAGACACAACATCCTCAAACCCGTCGAGGAACTGCGAAAAATGGTAACTTTCCTTACCCCTTTTCCACCTTTCATTGATCTGATTTTGTTCTGATAAATTGGTGTGTATGTATTTTCTGGGTATGGGAGAGAATTTCTGCATTTGGGTGCGTTTGGAATTCGTCTAATTTTGTTTTCCCTCTTTGAATTTCAGGTGAAGTACTCAAGGGAGCCTGATAACCCTACAAAGTGTAAGTGTCGTTTAATTTGGTTAATGTTTGTCTTGTTTTTTCTGTGGGTATTGTTATTGTAATTTTTTATTTTGAGGTCTATTATTATTTGTTGAAAATTTTGTATGCTCGCTTTGATGATGTTGAATTCCATTTGATTCTTATTGGGTTGTGCCATTGAAACAGCTTGCAAAGCCCGGGGTTCAGATCTGAGGGTTCATTTTAAGGTATTTTCTGATTCAAATACAAATTTAATATATTAAACTGATTGAATTTCATCTATTGTGTGGTGATAATGTATGATTCCATTTTAGTTTGATGGGATTTTGATAACAGTAAATTATTGAATCTGTTTATTCCAATTAAATGTTGACGCTTTTCTATCGTGCTGTGTTCTTGAGGAACATTATATGCAAACCCCTCTCACTTGAATGAGAAATGTGTAGCTGAATTCATGCCCATGTTGGTGTTAGTTGGTACTTATCCTATGTGTAACTCGTGGGAAAGTTAGACAGTTCATTTAGTTTGAGGAATACGAAAATGAAATATTATTTGGGCAAATGTTAGTACTTCCATACAATGCTTTCTTTTTGATTTGTGCAAACCTTTTAATGCTCTGGCTTGGGATATTAAATCTCTAGAACACCAGGGAAACAGCTCATGCAATTAGGAAGTTGCCTTTGGGAAAGGCTAAAAGGTACCTTGAGGATGTTCTTGCTCACAAGCAAGCAATTCCCTTTCGACGGTTTTGTCGTGGAGTTGGTCGTACTGCTCAAGCAAAAAACCGCCATTCAAATGGTCAAGGACGATGGCCTGTCAAATCAGCTAAGTTTATCCTTGATTTGCTGAAAAATGCAGAGAGCAATGCAGAAGTATGTTATAATCTTAAATGTTTTTATTTTTCATACAGTTTTTTTGACATTGTGATTATATTAAGTTGATATAGTTAGCTTCATACTTGTCACTAAATGACAATGCAGGTTAAAGGTCTTGATGTGGATGCACTATATGTTTCCCACGTCCAGGTGAATCAAGCTCAGAAGCAGAGGCGCCGTACCTACCGTGCTCATGGAAGAATTAATCGTGAGTTTCCTTGTGTTCACAGCTTCTTTTTTGGAAAAGGAAAGCTGCAGATAAGGGTGTGGATGTTAGCTTGTAAGTTTATTTATATTGTTCTCTTCTATTTCTTATGCAGCATACATGTCATCACCCTGCCACATTGAGTTGATTTTGTCTGAAAAGGAGGAGCCAGTTAAAAAGGAGGTATTCATTTAATTCCTAGTACCATTAATTGATGTTGTATTTTGAATTTGATGTTAATCTTGATTAATGGGCAGTGCCATTTATATTAGTGAAATGTGTGACTTTGAATTTGAACATATTAAATAGAAGGAGGATCTCATGACTCCAGTGTAAGATTAAAAAGTCGTATTTCTCATCTCAGCTGTTTATTTTTGTTTATTTGATGGCTGTAATTTATTTGAAATTAATAATTAATTAATTGGTATAACTACGGCCGTCAAATGTAGGGAAATCAGCAGCTGAGATGAAAAGTAAGACTTATTAAATACGATGGATTATGTACATCTGAATGGGAATCTCAAGATTCTGAACACATTCTTCTGTCAGTTGGATGGTTATTAGTATATTGTTACTGAGTTATGTATAGATATTTGCTATGCCTAAATTTCATGTGTTTAACTTATGGATTAAATGATAATGCAGCCTGAGACACAGTTGGCTGCAAGGAAATCCAAGAGCTCATAGGCGTGTGGTGCTGTTTGTTCTTGAAAGTAGTGACTTCAGAATGTTTGCATCATTTGTTTGCTTTAATTTCTATCATCGTGTAATCAATTTTGTGGTACACAATTTTACTTTGAGACGCCTCTATGATATTATTAGTCATCATGTTATTAATCATTTATGCCTTATTTTTTCGTAACTTAATATTATTTATTTTTTATATTAAATTAAAGTTTTAAAAATGATTTAAATTTCTTAGCCTATTTTTCTTTAAGGCAGTACATGTCTTTTTTTTTTTTTTTTTTTTGTCAAATTTAGATTTTTGATTATGTATATATTTTTTATAATTTAAATATTTATTTTAATATATTTACTTATTTTAAATTTTTCTTGTATTAATTATGGGTTTATCATAACTCCATCAACATGAAATAAAATTATCTTCATCAATTCCAAAACTATGTCATTTTGAAAGATTAGTAAAATTAATGAAGGGTGTTTTTGATAAATTCAAACAAGAAACAAATGAAAATTTTAAAATGTCTTTCATTAATTGCTCCAATTTTCAAAATGATATAGTTTTTTGGCGATGGAAATAATTTTATATTATATTGATTGAGAAACAATAAACTTATTATATATATATATATATATATATATAGATATTATCTTTACATATCTGAACATGATCTGTTTTTTTTAAAAATATTTTAATTTATATTTTTATATAATATTTTTACATTTTATATAAATTTAAAAACATTTGTATAATTACAAGATAGTAGCTCTTTATTGGTTTAATAGACAAAATAGGGAATCCGAAGTGGAAAGCTATTAAAGATTTAGTTTACTATTCTTCATTGAGTAATTTAGAATTATCAATTTCAATAAAGAGAGACCACTTTAACGATGAAAGAAATTTTGATTCTTTTCATAGCATACGAAAAAGAAAAAAATATTCAAAAAAGAAAAATTATTTAAGACGTCTTTTTTGTTTTATAAAATGATTAAATTTGCAATTTATAATTATTTCATATGTGTAATTAAAAAGTCACATAATTATAAAAATTTAATGATAAATATATATTGTTCTCACCCTTTTAACAAATTACAGAATTTGTTAGTGAAAAATTCACACGCACACACATATATATATATATATATATACACACACATATATATATATTGATTATTTTAATATAAATTTGAGTAATTAAAATTTCATGAGTAGATTAATTAATAATGAAGTCTTTCTCTTACTTCATTAAATGTAAATTCAAGTATTCTCTTTCTTATAAAATCAACGACTACAATTCTTTCTCTTTATTAAATGAATTAATTTGAACCCTTAGATCAAATAAATAAACGGCCAGATTTTAATGTAAAATTTAAAGAAATAAAAATATTTTTAATACTAAATTATTTTGTTCAAAAAGATTTTACTCTTTTTGTAAAATATATTTCAACTTGAACCAATATCCTTTATCATATTATCACTTTTTGATTGAAGTTTTTATTTATCTTCGTCTCTTAAGCTTAAATTGTCTCGAGGGTGATTCTATTCTCTTTTTTCTATAAACACTGTTCCTATTTTTTAATACATTCATTATTTTGATAGTTAATTAACAAGAATATTAAGATGCACCATCTCAAAAGTTAGTTCAGAGGATGAGAGTGTGCAAAACTTCATAAACTCCATATTAGCTTCAAATCTTATACCTTGCAAATGAGATCGTAACATTTTACCATGATCCGCAGCCCTAGCGCGCCCACACGAGCTAGTTTTGCACTAGTTTTTTAGTGACCTCGGGCGAATACTGCAATGCCGGTGTCACCTGCCGCACCACTCAACCACTCAATTGCAATCGGGAGACATAGTGGAAGACTCTAATACTATTTGATTAAAATCTTGAGGTGCACTATCTCAAAAGCTAGCTCAAAGGATGAGAGTACCCAAGGCCTTATAAATCTCATATTAATGATGGCGTTAATAGCTCTCCGGTTGCTGCAGATCAAAAAATTTACAGGAACACTTACTTCCACCAGGATCCGGTTCCATATCCTATTTTTTTTTATTTTTTTTTGTTAATTTCAGGATCTGACTCCATATCCTACTATAATATATTTGCTGCAAATTTTTTCATCAGCAGTGACAGCAGAAAGAAAGAACCCATTAATGATTTATACAACTAATATGTCACTTCAAGTTTCATACCTTACAAACGGGATGTAACATTAATATTGTGTCTAGCTATGTAGAGTTTTTGTAAATAACAAGATTCGTAATTGAACAATGCTAATCATACATACACACATCACTATCAACAAACGACGAAACTTATTCAAGTAAAAATTGGCATAACTTCTTAATTACTTAAACCACAATTCCTGTTACCAATATCTTTATAAATTAATGGTTAAGTACATGTAAGCCGTTTATTAAATAAAGGGCCTCCTTACTTGAATAGATTTGTAGTTTTGATATAAATTTCTAAATCAGGAAACTGGGACAACAGAAATAAATAAGAATACTTTAGCATTTAAATTTTGAAGCTTGTTATCTGGTTTTCTTCACCAGCACCAATAGATTGTACTTATCATTTTCACTCATGCAGAGTAAAGATGAAGCAACAAGGTACATCAACAAACTTCCCAATCAAGCCTATGCCATTCAAGTAGTTTCATGAAGTGACACCTTCATATGGCTTACTAGAAACAAAAAACAAACAACATAAAGCTTTAAGTAAAAAAAAGACAACTCCATATTAACCTCCACAGTATTCTTCCTCTTCTTCTTTTATTTTCTTGGAGATACATGTCAAGCTATTATGCTTATTACTTAGACTTCAGACTTCAAGGGTCAAGCTAACATCACAGCACAATTGCGAATAAAAGGACTAAGGTTGGTGCTGCTACATACAATTTGCCTCCATTGCAATTTCTCAACATTTGGATTAGGGCAACAAGTGTATATAGTCATCAAGGCACGTTGTGAATTGGAGACACAAGTAGCACCAATAAGAAGTAACTCATTTCCCAAGGATTTGAATGCCACACCCCAACCTCCTTGATCATTAGCTCTTACTGGAACTGGTCCTAACTTCTTCCATGTGTTGCTTCCCTTCAGATATACCTTTAGCTCATTAGAGGAAGCATCAAGTGTGTATAGCTCATTATTGACAATAGCAATAAGAGGTGGGGACCCGGAAGGTGAAAGAGGAATATCTTTCAACATATTAGGAATCAAGTTCCATCTATTTGTCTCTTCATCAAAGAATTCCCCACAAGTGAGTTCATTTTTTTGCTCATCTTGTCCTCCAATTACATAGAACTTGTTATCCATGTGACAACCTGAGCAAAACTTCCTCTTTTGTATCATACTAGGGAGGGGATCCCAAGATTGAGTTTCTGAATTGTATTTCTCAGCAGAACTCAAAATTTCAGTACAATTTGTTGTCTCAAGTCCACCTGCAACAAAAGCAAAGATATCACAGGAGGCTGATGCAAAAAGGCACCTTGGATTGTTCATGGGAGGACCCTTGAACCATTCATTTGTTTCTAACTTATACCTCCAAAGAACAGGACCATCAATCTCTTTGCCTGAAACAAACAGATGGGTCCCTACAGAAAATGACTCCTTATCTCCACATTCAAAGTTATAATCTGATGGAATAATAGGGAGCTTCCTGCAGGACATGAAATGGGGATCAAATGCACACCAATTCCTCTCACCACTTGCTAACATAAACACAGATGGTTCTTTGAACCTTATTTCTCTCCTGATTTTGTAGATTTCACCACTCTTTAGTTGAGTCAGAAACCGTTTGTTTAGACAACACAACTTCCAGTGTTCTGATATTGAAAATCTAGCCAATATCATGGTCTCTAGCTCATCACTGAGACATGGAACAACATAATCTGCATCCTGAGGTTCTTGACCTAAGGAGGAACCATTGCCATCAAAAGGTGACAATTCTAGAATTCTCATCTTTTCTGCTGAGGAATGATGGGAACTCCTGCAAATGCCACCACCAAAGCTCCAAACAGGCAATGCTTTTTTACTTGTCATACTAACTCATATTTTGGTATAAAATGCTCTTTTTCCCTGCCTTCTATTTCTTTACCTCTTAATGTTGATCTGCCAAATCTTTTACACCTTATTGCTAACTATCTGAAACTGTAGACAAAAAATCCAGGCGAAAGTATTAGCAACAACAATTACTTGCTTGACATCTAACGTTAAGAACAAGAAACTCAATGCATATAGCCAATGAACTAAAAGCTTATATGACACGACTTTAAGTCTTTATAGTGGCACTCACATTGAAGCAACAGAAGTGACGACTAAAAATCTAGCAAACTAAAAAGAAACACTAGGGGGCGTTTGGTACACGGCATTTTGCCAGATTCCTGGGAAACTGAATTTGTCTAAATTTTAAATTTTTGAATATTATCGTAAACTAAATGTAAAAATCATATTTTTAAAAATTGAGATTCCCGGACAAATAAAAATTTCTCCTGTACCAAAAGCCCCCTAGTGTCATTTTCATCTGTCTCATCTCACAATCAGATGTTGAAAACAGAATGGGAGTTTTCTTGACTTGACCAAAGATTGCAGTAACAAATGAGTAAACCCATGTAGAAACACTAAAAAGCAACCATTTCCATTTTGTGGGTTAATTAAAATTCAAGAAATAAAAAAAACACAATACATGTCAGCCATGAGTTGCAATGACCATAGAAGCAGAATCTATTTCTTAATGGAATAAAGATATTATCTTCCAAAAATATGCTTACCTAGAAGAAAAGTTAACAAGGCTTCACATCATGGGGTTGATGAGTGTTTGGAGGTTTAACACAAAAACATTAGAAGAAACAGAAAAAAAACACCACAGATTGATTTATTCAGGGTTTGTGCATATTCATTCAGATGTGCAGAACCCAAAAGAAAGAAAGGGTGCAAAAGGGAAAGGATTAAACACAAAAGACAAGACATACATGTAGTGTGTGCATAGATAAGCTAAGTTAAATTAAGCTAAGAAAACAAAGAAAAAAGAGACGTTGAGATACATAGTCTAGTCTAAGCCTTTTTGCAGCCAATACACGAGAGACATGTGAAGTTGAAGAAGGGGATGAGAGAAGTGAATTGAAGTGAGGAAGGAAGCCATTAAGGTGCAGAAGAAGAAAGGAGAGAGAGATCCATCATGGAGAGACACCCTCCTTGTTGGGAAAATATGTATATATGCTTAAGTTATAGTACATCATGGTATGCATTTGGAGATTAAAATAACCTTCATAGAATCAATATTTTTTTTATTTTTTTTATATTTAATATCATAATCATCATCCTCACCATCATCATTGTATGTTTTTTTAATCACCCCATTTGATAAAAAGGCAGAAAGAGCTAGCCTTACAGTTAAGAGGGAGAGAGAGAGAGAGATTGTGCTCACTTCACAGTTCATACAGTGGCCTAAGCACTCAAAATGTGAGAGAATGAATTAAAAAAAACAAAGATTAAACAAAAAAGGTTGAAGGGTGGGGCTCAGTTTCTGTCTCTCTCTCTCTCTGTCTATTTTTTTTTTTTTGGTAATTGTCCTGTATTGGTGAGAGAGATGTCTAGTCGATAGTTAATATATTTACGTTGGAAGTACATATAAGAGAAGTATCCTAGAGACTAAGGGTGAGTGTATGTATGCATAATGATAATTAAGACAGAGAATTTATAACGTGGGTATATTTTTAACTTAATTCTTTATTTATAAATGAGTTAAGAAGAAAATGAAAGAATTTCCATTTTATGACAAATCCGTAACAGTAGATTTCTGGGGCTCTTAGAAATATTAGGGGTGCAATTCTTAATCCATTATTATTGTATTAGGATTAGTATAATTAAAGGATTTTTTCTTAATTTATCTCTTAACTCTTCTTGAATCTTCTAAAATATAGTTCTCTATGTCAGGTTAATAATAATAATTACATAATAGTATTTTTGTAATTAATGCTTATAAATTATCTGCATTTATTTTCAAAACGACGTTGTTTTGAGATTAAAAAATTAAATAATTATAATTATAAATACTATAATAATCCTGAATTAAATTAAAATTATAAAAATACCGTAATTTCTGCTCCAAAATGACATCATATTAAATTTATTGTAGATAACTTATCTGCACTGAAAAAAGCAACCCTAATAATTAATTCTTCCTCGTTTTAAGTAACTGTTGGTGTGCAGTACTTCAGCTACAGAATAGAAAAACCAGCTTCAAAACGTGGTCTTTCCATGCTTCCACAAGATGACATTGCAGGAGGAAAGGAAAAGAAGAGAGTATGATTACTTTATGTATCTCTGTGTGGTTAATTGGCTATGTACAATTCAAAGCACCGTGCATTTTATACATGCATGAACTGAAAATATAATAAAGTGACTCTAAATAATATGTATGTGGTATTTTTATGTTTAGTCTTTATTTTCTTTTGGTAAAAACACTAGTTATCAGTTAAAAAACTGGCTTTTGAATAATTTGTTGCAGGTATCATCCTTTTCGTTTGGTATAAAGTGGAAGCTGGTTTTTGGGATGACTTGTTGGAAGGGTTGGAATTGGAGAAATGAGATTACTCATGGGATTGGCAAGGTGGAAAGCAGGTATAATCTAGAGGTGATAAAATTTAAAGTCTTGGAAGTAGATTCTGTTTTTGCAGGAGAAGTTAGAGATAATTTATTTGGTAATTTTTATGTGGAGTGGATTAGATGGATCCCGAGGGATGAGTAAAGCTTAACACTGATAGAGCTTTTAGAGGCAACCCAAGTAATGCTGCTTGTGGTAGTATTATTTGTGGATCAGATGATAAGTGGTTGGAAGCTTTTTCTTATAGAATTGGGATTTGTAATGCGATTAATTCTGAATTTTGAGGTATTCTGAAAGAGCTTGAACAGGCTTGGGAAGGAGATTGGAGGAAAGTCATGTTAGAAAGTGATTCAGCTTCGGCTATCACTCTGCTAATCAATTCTGGTGATGTATCCTGTGAGTTTACTTTAGTGACTCGGATACGGAAATGGTTACCAAAATCCTGGGAAGTCAAGCTTATCCATACTTATAGGGAGGATAATTTCTGTGCAGACTGGCTTGCTAATCTTCCTCTTGTGAATCTGGATCATGAAGATTTTTGTTTATTTCAAGTTCCTCCCCTTGGTGTTTGGGAGTTATATTTTTCTGATTTTAAATCTGTACATAGGGCTAGACATTTTCTGATATAATTTCTTTGTTTCTTGGGCTTTGCCCTTTCATCAAAAAAAGAAAGAAAAAAAGAATGGACTTATTATCCAGTGGTTGAAATACGAAAGAAAATACAACCCCCCAAAAAATACAAAAGCAATAAATAAATCTTTCATTGTATGATAATATGGAAATATTAGAATTCAAAAGAAAAAATCATAAGTATGAACATTAATAGCGAGTTTTTCCTTTAAATTTTAAGATAAAATTTAAATAAAGTCAAACGTCAGAAGATAATTATTCTACAGGGAAAGTTAATTCTAATTTTTTAATCTGATTTATTTTTATTTAAAATAATAAAAAAGGTAGTAAATGATATCTTTTTTTAGAGGAAGAAAATAGAATGACAAATAAAATTAAATTTATAAGTATGACATAAACTTAAATTTACTTCAAATTATTTCAAGTAATAGAAATCAAGTTTTACGAGTTGAAAGTATTTAATTTACCACAATAACTGATGTGAACCTATTTCACGAAGAATTACAGGCCCATTAGTGAAAAGGCTCAAAAGTTATTGCTTCGTGAGGAAGGAAACACAGTTATCCCACGTATTTTGACAATCACGCAATCTATTGATATATGACATCAACTGCTCATTCAATTGCCACCACACGACATTAGTTGCTCAGAGTATACTACACCTCTTATAGCCAATAACTAGAGGATGGCACATGCTTACAACTACCTCTATAGGGTGTAGCCGATATTAGGCATCCCGCATAAAAGGCCGCTTGAAAGGACCACTTTTACCCACCAATAAGAATGAATATTGCCATACAAAAATGGTATTACCTAGCCTTCCAAGCTAACGATGCGGGTTCGATTCCCGCTACCCGCTTAGATCCTATCTCTCTATTTATTCTATTCGAATATATCTTTTTCTATTCTTGAATGAATCTTTTTTATTAGTAAATTGGTTCATTATTCCTTTGAATTTCGTAACGTCGTTTTATTTTTTTTAAGAAAGAATAATAAAAAAGACTGAAATCCTAGTCTAGTTGATTTGATGATTTTATTGATCTATTTGATTGATACAAAGACATAACTTGATAGTCATCTATTATATATAAAAGGCATTAAGCCCATGTATGAGTATCTATCCATCGATACTTGACTATCTTGAATAATTACTTACTTGTGTGTCGGAGTGCCTTGCAGTTAGCTCCTTAGGTCTCCTCAAATCACTTCAATTGTCTATACCAGCCAAGACATCTCGCAGCCAAACACATATCTTGCAATAGTATTTTCAACCAAGGTCCATATATCAACATTGCAGGCTCAACTATATGTGACGTATAACCCAATAATTATTGAATTGATCATTAACCAACCCCATATTTTGAGTGTAGTTAACATCCTATGTTACTCTAATATTTAGTTAAAGTGTACTTCCACACAAAAAAAGTGTACTTAACATCTTATGTGACCCTAATATTTAGTTAGAGTGTACTTCCACAAAAAAAAGTGTACTTCACATCTTTACGTGACTCCACTATTTCCTTATTTGTTTTTTCTCACTAGTTCCTAAAACGCATTTGATGAGATATTATCATATTAATGGGGAATGGAAAGTCCTAAGTGAAAGTGTTTTGTAACTATAAGACCACAATTATATTTGCTAGTAAAATTAGACCAATTTATTTTACAACTTAAATTTTGATAACTTGTAAGGAATAAAGAAAAAATCATGGTAATTTTTCAATCATTATTAGTATAAAATAGTACAATATAAAGCAAATTATAAGATATTAAAATGTTTTAAACAAATTAAATGCAAATGATATTT